GTCATGCGAATTTGTAGTTTGACGATCACGTGATTTTGTGACATTATGATGATTACTTCTTCTTTGATAGGATGGGAACCATAACGATATTCTGTACCCAACTTGGTCATTCTGGTCTGGCGGACCAGCAATCCCACTTTATCCGTCTGGAATTGGAAAATGGAATCAAACGCGACAGACAATCTTGAGGTGACAGCTGTTATTTTTTTATGTGTAGAAGTTTTTCGTTTAATTTTCTAATGTTTTTGATATAATTGAGGTATTTTGCGAAAAAATGTTAATAAATGTTCTGTGTTTAGGTCTTAAGAACATAAAAATTTATAAAATAAATAATTGAATTTTTTTAGAACAGCTGAATCTGTGGCTTGGGAGAGCAGAAAATCAATTGGATTTTTTCGTGGTTCACGAACAAATATTAATCGAGACAAGTTAATTCTACTCTCAAGGGAAAAACCCGACTTTATTGATGCCCGTTATACCAAAAATCAAGCTTGGCGTTCTAATGCGGTATATGTTTTTAGCACCAAACTAATTTATAGATCGGTACAAACAGTGTAATACTATTATCTGCTTGCTAAGATTACAGATTAAATCAACTACAATTTAATTATTGTAAAAAATATCTAATTTATTTTTTGTTTTAAGGATACTCTGGGAGAAAAACCCGCACGGGAAGTATTATTTGAAGACCACTGCCGCTATAAGTAACTTCTTCTTTCTTCTACTCAATTTTAGAAATTTCTTTGATAGAAATAACGATTTTTTATACAGCATAACTTGAGCCCAATTAAAAAGTATTATAGGTATCTATTCAATTTTGCGGGTGTTGCTGCCAGTTTTCGTCATCGACATATACTACTTTGTGGATCGACCGTATTTCACGTGGAGGATAGATGGATTGAATTCTACTATAGGCAACTGATTCCATGGTTTCATTACGTACCGGTGAGCGCAGAATTGGAAAATGTTGAAAAGTTGATCAGTTTTGCTCGAAATCATGACAATCTTATGGAGACTATTGGGCGCCGGTAAGTAGCTGCATTTTTTCTCTAAAATTCTAGCTTATTGTTTCATACTTCAATGATACTCTAATTACTATCATTATTATTATTATTATTATTATTATTATTA